GTTATACTAAATAAGTTGAAGATATTTGGACGTTTAACCGTTGGAAGGACCAAATATCGAATACCAAAATCGCTAACCAGTTAACCGGTCCTTTTTTCAATTCCAATAGATTTGATATTAATTCGTGTTAAAATCTTTCATTAATTTTTAAAATGATGGTCTTGCTAATCACTATGACAGATCAATTGTCCAGTATATTGATTCTTATTGTAAACCTTAAAAACACTCAAATTTTACGAATTAACTAACACATCTAATTATCTATCAGCTCTGGACAATATCAAAAGTAAACATAATTAGTATACATGTATTTTGAACAGTTGTAAACCGGTTACATTTTACGAATAACTTCATTATTTTACTTTTTCTTACATGTAAATATGCAACCTCCATCTTCTACGAATTTGTCCAACTTTAAACGAAATGCCGTCTCTTAAATGGTAAAATGCAAATTATGTGATTGAAATTGATGTATAATGCTGTGTGGTATGAATGTTACACTTAATCATCACAAATTGAAACACTCCAAAAAAAATTCTGAGACACCAAAGAAATTGAAACAATCACCGGTTATAGACTTTATCAATTCTCCGAGATCAAGACCACCTTCATCTTCTCAACCTGAACTTTTTTACAAATGCCATAGTGGAAAAAGTTGTATTGGATTATTGAAGATATAACTTCACTATGACTGTTCAAAGCCAAGCTTTACAATGTCAAAACATAAACTTCAATTCGTCTTATTATGAAACCATGAATTTGTAGAGTACTGAAGACCTTTACAACAACAACTTAAGTACCGGTTAACCGGTTAATCGGTCGAAAGATTTCCCAAGTAACCGGTTAGACAAAACTGTTCAATTTGACAACACTAATACAAAGAAATAATTATTTCATGCCATGCTATATGCTCATTTTAATATAGGTAGGCATTATATTTCTTAATAAATTTAGACCAATCGTTAACAATGTATAAAAAATTGACAAATATATGCCTACCCATGTTAAAATGAGCATAGAGCATGATATAATTATTTCGATTCTAATAGGGAAGTTTAGAACGTGTGTACTTCGAAGCAAACCTAAAATTCACATTCGAAAGGCAACCATTTTGATTTGAGGTAGCCAAAACGTTCTTAGTCTTTCTCTGACTGTCAGTCAATGAATGAATGAATGAATGAGTAAATGATAGTAAATATATTGTAAACATAGCGTATAGTATAGTAAAGCATACTAGCTTTACTCTTTGATAAATTGATATGGTAACACAATCATACCACATCTTATTTTTACATCATTACAAACTAGTACAGAAAACAAACAACTATCATAAGGAATTAATGTAAGTGCATGCTATAAAGTATTTATTTCCATTTAAAGTTAGTTCGAAAATAAGTTCAATAAGGTATACGTATAGCATTCGAAAAATGTCTACTCCCTATTCCGAAAAGTTTCCGTTGAAAATATATTTTAACACAACAGGATTGTATTGCAATAACATCTTTATGACTCACATATTGATTTTTTTCAGACGGACAATGTTTAGATCGGTGTCAACTTAGCTTTTCATAAATTTGTGGTTTCAAAACAAAACAAAACCGGGTCCTATACTGAGACAAAACAGGGTCCTTATGTAGTAAACAACATAGACGAAACAGGGTCCTTCCATTTTGACATGACCAATTTCTTTCGTTCCAGTGTTAATATTTTTCTTTTCGTACTTTTCTTTCCGTACAATGTGCACGATTTAAAGAGAAATTAATCAAATTGGAGGCAAGGTTCACTCAATTTACAATTTTTATGTAATTTTTTACTTATTTCTCCATTAATCTAGAACGGTTGTAGAAGATATAACATCTCACAATCGAAAATATTTATATGTGTATGTATATTCTTCAATATCATTAAAACAACAAATAAATAAACAGAAATTCTACCATTCCTCTGTCCATGATTGCCCGTCATCGTACCGGATATTAGATATTATTGAGTCCAAAACTTTTTTTGCCGGGATAGTTTAGACACAGTGACTTAACCAACACAAGTTCTACATTGACTATCGACTGCGTGTAGTCAAAACCTGTTTAAAATACATGTAAACATTGATTTTTATCAGTGGCGACGTAATTGGGTTTAGTTTAAGTGTAGAGTACACTTACAGTAACACCACATCGAGTTTAGCTCAATGTGAACACGGCCTTAGTAACTGATAAACTGGTAAAACCATAAAAACTTAACATTAAACAAAGAACAATGAAGATGAGGCCAATGTCATATGAACCTTGCCAAACAGATATGTACACCTTACAATCATTCAATGCACCAAATAGTATGGTCATCTTTCTTATAGAATCTAAGAAACAGACAAAAGAGCAAAAATAAACATTGTTTAATGATCCACGAAAAAGAGGTCAAAGACAGATGAAACCTGCCAGTCGGACATACATTGTATACGCCTCACAATCATTCCATACACTAAATGTAATCAACCTTTCGCTATAGTATCTATAAGGTACGGGCTTGGCACGAAAACTTAACCTTCATCAATGATCAATAAAATAAGAGCAACTGCAAATAAACCATGTCTGACGGACATGTAGACCTTGCAAGGCACCCATATACCAAATATGGTTATCCTAATTACTCATAATAAGGGAGAAATTCACATGGCAATTTTTTTTCAAGCAGTCGTTGAACCGTGAAAATTATGTCAAGGACAATAGACATATAACAGACGGAAACTTCGTCATATAAGATATATGCATACAAGGTATGAAGCATTCAGGTCTTCTATCCTCTTAATCATAAAGCTTTATTCAAATAGTTTACGCCTTCACCGCCGGATTGTTATCACTATATCTCGTATTATTCTGAGACTTTCGTCGCAGGCGAGATAAAATTGAAATTAACAAGTGTATGGTTAAGATAAGAAGAAAAAAACTAGTTCAAACCCGCCACACAGTCTTGTACCTGCTTTTAGCCAGTAACCTCGGCCGTCGTTGTCTTATATCAAATCAAAATGTTTGTTATTTAGATAATTGGGAGTTGATTGCACATCTTTAAATTTGATAATTTTCGTATTAGTTATAATTTACAACTTTAGTTTCAATATACTCGGTACGAATTCTAGCTTGACATATTGTATAAATACCTGGCTATCGATTAATATAAAAAAAGAAGATGTGGTATGATTGCCAATGAGACAACTCTTCACAAGAGACCAAATGACACAGAAATTAACAACTATAGGTCACCGTACGGCCTTCAACAATGAGCAAAGCCCATATCGCATAGTCAGCTATAAAAGGCCCCGAAATGATAAATGTAAAACAATTCAAACAAGAACACAAACGGCCTAATTCATGTACAACAAATGAACGAAAAACAAATATTTAACACAGCAACAAACGACAACCACTGAATTACAGACTCCTTACTTGGGACAGGCACATACATACAGAATGTGTGGGGGTTAAACATGTTAAAGGGATCCCAAACCTCCCCTAACCTGGGACAGTGGTGTAACAGTACAACATAAGAACGAACTACAAAAATCAGTTAAAAAAGGCTTAACTCATCAGATGGATACAAATAGAAATACATCTAGCAAAAACACAGAGTGGATGTGGCCGGGTACTTGTACATCCCAACAACAAAAAGACACTAAGTACAGATCTGAGAGTACTCGCAGTTACTGACAGATAGTTAAAAGCCAATTACAACTAATAAAAAAAAAAACATGCATCTAATACTAAATTATCAATCAGTACACATCCAACACCCATTGGATTTAGCGTAAAGACGTCATAATCAGTCGAAGAAAAGCATGACCTTGTGCAATGCCAAGATACAGGTATCGACAGATTGTAGATCCATGAAAGTGCATATGTATATAACAATAATATTTAGTTTACTTTTAATTTACTGATAACAAAATCAATATTAATACCAATAAAAACAATATTCAAAGATCTAATTACAGTCTTGATTGGTAACCTTTTAGAATAAGTTTATTTAAAGAATCGATAAGTTTACCAGGATCGTTTCTAAATTTGCCGGGCACGGTAAACAACATCTCCGTAAAAATGAGGATGTGCTATCCCGTTAGAAATACGTTTTCTACAGGTACAAAGACTGTCTTTATGTTGTTTGTGTCGATGAGCTCCTGTCTCACCGACGTATACTCCACGTGGTATATCCATATCTCCATTTATTCATATTTACTTTGTACAAATATGGTAACAATATTATGAAACGTTGGTGAACATCTTATTTTGAGATTTGTTAATGTATCTTTTTATTTATTTCTTTTTTAAATTTTGCTTTACTCGTTGTAAGGAGTGGAAGTGTTACCTTTTTTGTTGCACATCATTAAAAGAATTTTTTATATCTTGTTTTAAATCGTTTGTTTTTGTCAATTCATATGTATATTTTCAAACAATTATAATTTAATATATAATAAATTGTAATGGTACAATATTTAAAAAAAATGTGTCATTTTATAATGTTTTTACTGCTAAAAGTAATTCACACATAAGATATTGAAAAGTTATAATATTGTTTCATGTTTATTTAATCATGCATACTAGTATATATAACTGTTCTTCTCCTTCTCATGGATGTCCACCCTATTTGCAGGGTCACCCCATTAAAATATATGCGTTTATTGTAAAAAATAATTTAATTTACCTTTGTTAATTATAGTTATAAATGTTTATTAAATAAAACAAAGGTAAAATGTACGTGTACACTAAAGAAAACACTTATCTACTTAAAGAATTTAATCAATCAATTTCTTGTCATGATTATATAAACAATGTTGAGTACTGCAGACTTTTTGTTGTCATTAAAGAGTTGAGTCTAAACCATTACTCGCTATAGGATTTACTTAACTGTAAAAACAACTTTCTAACATAAGTATGGTAATATTTCCAACAGTATCATTAACTGATTTGTATTTCAGACGAAAAGACAGAAATAACCTGAAATATCACAGAAAAATGGCTCATAATCCTGCTTTTCAAGGTTAGTACGAAGTAAAATCCATTATCGAATAAACAAATAATTTAGCATTTTCAAAATGAGTTTTATGAACTTGTTTATTTTCTAATGTATTTATGTTTTGCATTACTTTATAAAGTACAATTTTATACATCCATATCGTTAATATGCAGAACAACTGAAACGATAATATTCTTTGAATATTACCATTATAAATATCAATGATTTTAGCTATTTAGGTTGAATCGTTGCAAGCTGAATTCTATGCAGAACTAAATAATTAGGTAACAAAATATAGTACAAATGAATGATTAAATCAGATGTGAATTTATGAAAACACCGTGTCCACAGAATTTATTATTCTTATTTTTTATTATTCTTTACTATATTTTTATTATTTCTTTTTTTTTTTTCTCTTTATTTATTTATCTCAATTCTCTATCCTTTTCCTTGTTAATTGTTTTATGCCTTTTTTTCTTAGACTGTGCAAATTTCTCATTTTACTATTACCTTGTGTTCAATCCTATTTGTATCTTTGAGCAAATAAAATTGTTATAAACTAAAAAAACTGATTAACAGAAAAAGTCTAAGAGATTGTATATTGTAGAAGTGTTTTTTTTTACCGATTAAATATCAGCTATAAAATAATTACAATTTCTTTCTTTTTTTGTTTTCAGACGAATTTTACACGTGTTGTTATGATGAACAAGAATCACAGTTAATGGTTTTGAAAGATAAGCAAGCCTTGTGTGAAGGTTTAAAGTATATTCTGTCTGTACCTGATCTATGCGATGTTACTTTCCTTGTTGGTCCGGAGCAATATCCAATCCACGGACTGAGAGCAATACTAGCATCCAGAAGCAGGTAACAGAATATTAATCTTATTATAATTAATAATGCATCATAATACTTAAATATTTAACGTTCCAATAAAAAAAAAATAATTTCAATCATTTTTTAATTTTCGGTTTTAGCAAATTTTCAAATAATTCTAATATTTGAACCATTTGATCAATTTTCTGTGGTTCAGTATAGTAAAACTCGACAATGGCAAATGTTACAGGCATAACCACTGTAAAAACATAATGATACAAAACAAACAAAAAACGCATCTGATTTTTCTATGAAAAAATATCAGTAAATCATGATTATTAATATACATTTGAATTTTTGTTCTATTGCAGACTGTTTTACTTGATGATCCTTGCTAAAGAAAAGGAAATAAAAATACAAGCTTCACAGAAGAAAATAGGATTTTTGAAGAAACTTAAAGAAATTCGCAAACTGCTAACCTCTAAACCGTCATACCAAACTTCGGAATCATCCATTTCAAGAAAGTTGACTATTGTTCTAGAAGAATTTGAACCCAGTGTATTTGAGAGACTGGTACGTTATATTCACTGTGGCATGGTATCAGTCGACGTGTTTTCTGTAGTTGGTAAGATATATTATCTTTTCAGACATTTGCAGTTTCCCTTTTTTGCTTATCTTATGTGTTTCTTTTTAATTGAAGTTATGCGTTTTTATATAATGTTAGTTTTTTGCAAAGGGAGACTTTTCCAAAACGCACAAGTTTTTTGTTTTTAATTTTTTGCATTTGATCTTTTTTAAGGATTTTTTTTATATTTGTAGTAAATAGTCAGCTTGTTAAATTAATGTTTTACGGAAGAAACGTCCTTTAAAAAATGATTTGTGAAAATAAACTTGTAATGAAAAAAATAAATCATTATTCCAAAAATTGTTATTTTATTAGAAACAATACCAGTGTATGAATTGATATAAATTTTTGAAATCACACCTTCCAAAATTCAAAACTATTAAAGTATATTTTAAAAGTGAACGGTTTCAAATATATACCAATTTTACACTCATCTAATTGTTTTATAGGACTGTTGAATGCTGCCGAAAAGTTCGAGTTGGAATGCCTGAAGAATGCATGCTGGGAATTTGCTGTCAGTTGTATCCGTCCTGATCTTGTTCATGATCTTATTGCCTCAGCGAATGAGTACTCCAAATGTAAATTGACAAATGATCTTTTCAAAGAGGTAAACTAGAAAAATATATCATATTGATAATCAATTAAATTCAGTCAAGTCTTTATAAATACGTTGTTCTTCTCTCTTTTATTTGTACATGTCATTAATAATATTGGTTTAAAATTTATATGCTATTTATAAATTACTAGCCACAAATCTAACAAAAATAACCCTTTTCAAACTTCTGTCATACGTTTTAAAATTTCTTAGTTTTTTTCAGACTACGCTTTTCTTCTAAAAAAAGATAATCATACTATCTATAATTTGTCATATGACTATAGTTTTTTTGTTTGTTTTGAAAACCAGAAAAATTTGTTCAATTTTGTTTTATCTTTTTATTACAGATTCAAGAAATATCATTGAATCATCCTGAGTTGCTTTACTATACACCAAGATCACGATCAAGCAGCTTCCGGGACGGTAATGACTACAGACCGAAAAGTATAACTACCAATGGACTGTTAATGAGATCTGTATTGTAAATCTAAGACAATGTATTTTGTAATTGTACATAATTATATGATATTGTTATATGGTGAATCATATATTGGTTGATAAGTGCTAAATTTATAATAATAAACTTTTTAAACCAATTTATTTGTATTCCTCTTATAACACTGGACACTTTTAATTTGCAAAACACTCATTTGCAAATCCGCCGCCGCCTCTCCTTACAGCTACAGTGTCGTGTATATAATGAAAATGTGCGGAATTACATGGGATTCAATAAATTCATTGCTTTTCTGCTGTTGTTATTATATATATTTTGTAATTTGATTTAGAAAAACATGGGATTTTCAATATCCCATGGGATAAGGCAAATCCCATGGGATTGACCATTATCCCATGGGATTTTGGTTAAATCCCATAGGATTTTTTGGGGTCCCATGGGATAATTGCAGTCCCATGGGATATTTGTTGTCCCATGGGACAAAAAAAATCCCATGGGACTATAATTATCCCATGGGATTTTTAATATCCCATGGGACAAAATAAAATCCTATGGGATTTAAATTATAAATATACAGTAATGTGTATGTTACAATGAATTCTGTTTGGTAGTTAATTGTTTTAAGATGAATCTTTTTGGTTGTATATCTTTTTTCCTTGGAAATGTTAATGCAGTTATATTGTTCTATAACTGTTCAAAACTAAACTTTTAAACAACAAAGCAGATAATGTAAGTATCAATATATGTTTATTTATGAATTCTAGAATACTTTTTTGAAACACAATTTTTTCCCATTTGAAATCAATGAAAACTCTTTTATTAGGCTTAACATACTAGTAGCTTTTTACATAAATGTATTTTTTTCAGGATATCCCTCCACCCAAAAAATTAATAGTTTCTTATCATCCAGCATTGTGTGATCGTAATGTATAGTCCACTTTTTGGCCATTCAGCACAGAACATTGTCATTATTGTGGTTTTAATATCTTTTGACTTGAGATATTTAATAGAACTTCAATTCATTGACTGAGTGATGAAATAATAACTGATCTGACTTTTGTCTTTGAATTTATTCTGGTCTTGTTTCTGTGTTTTCTCCTTTTATTCTAAGTGATGAATTTCAATCCATCTGAAAAAGAACCAATAAAATCCGAAGTTATGGACAATAAAAAATTGTTTGCATACATGTAGCAATAACATATGATTTTCAATAAAAATAGCTATGCGGTATGGATTTTACTGATTGTTGAAGGTTGTCCAGTATCATCAGTTGCTAACCTCCTACATCCTTTGGTCTCTGATGGAGAGTTGTCAAATTAGCAATATACCACATCTTCCTATTCTAATATTATATAACAATCAATTTATGTATTCTTCTTTATGACATTTGGGTATTTTCCCCAGTTATATATATATATAGATCAATGTTAAAACTTTAAGCAATTACAATAACATTCCATTTTTCACAAGAATGTGCAATATACTATACAAAACACCAACAATAGAAACAGCACTTATTTAAGCTTCTGAAGTTCTGAAAGAGTTCCACTTGTGTTTTATTTCAATGAGAAAATACCTTGAATTCTTTGGACATGTTGGAAATTATAACATTGATACAAAAAATTATATCGGGTTTTTTTCTTATTTTTGTGTTGTTCGGTTGCTGCCTTTTTTTTTATATATCATGGTTATACATATATCCTAATTCTTCTTTTTTTAATACTTAATTATTAATAGTAAAAATGGGATATTTTTAATTTTGATAATCTCAAAACATTATTATTCTATCAAATAACTTATTTCCAAGTTCACAAAACACCAATGTGTCAGATATTAATTTTAAGACATGTATAAACATGATCAACAAGCAGTTGACAGGATGTCATGCAAAAATCTCACTAATATTAAACTTTCACAAAAACTCCATACTCAGCGAGTACTATTAAAGTTCTTAGTACAGGACAAATTCCTAGTACAGGACACCATGCCTGGCAAACACTAGCTTGTGTCAATGTCTAGTCAATCATGTAATCAGGCTCAAAATCTTAGTTTGGCACTGAATTTAAAAGTTCACCACATAATGAACATGTGTATGAAATTCAACTGCATGGTAAGCTATGTACCTAAACCTAAAACTTTAACCTAAGAATTTACTATAATTTCACAATATGACATTTCTATGTTCAGTGATCCATAAAATCAGGGTAAAACAGTAAATGTGGTGTATAAACAAGAGTGCACACGCTGAAATGGTGCGCCTTCTTTACTAATCATTGATATCATGCTGATTGTCCTAAATATAAAGCTTTACTACAACTATCACATAAACTCAACATGATCCAAGAAAATGAATTCAAGGTCATATAAACCCAACAAGAAATACATGTACACCTTACAATCATTCAATATACTAAATACAGTTGACCTATTGCTTATAGTTTCTAAGAAGCAGACTTAACCAAGAAAACTAAACATTGACCAATGAACCATGGAAATGAGGTGAAGGTCAGATGAACCATGCCAGGCAGACATGTACAGCTTACAATCCTTCCATACAACACATTTAGTTGACCTATTGCATTTAGTATTAGAAAAAGACCAAAACTCAAAAATTTAACTTTGACTACTGAACCACGAAAATGAGGTCAAGGTCAGATGACACCTGCCAGCTAGACATGTACACCTTACAATCATTCCATACACCAAATATAGTAGACCTATTGCATACAGTATAAGAAAAACAGACCAAAACACAAAAACTTAACTATAACCACTGAACCATGAAAATGAGGTCAAGGTCAGATGACACCTGCCAGTTGGTCATGTACACCTTACAGTCCTTCCATACACCTAATATACTAGACCTTTTGCTTATAGTATCTGAGATATGGACTTGACCACCAAAACTTAACCTAATATAAAAGAAGATGTGGTATGATTGCCAATGAGACAACTCTCCACAAGAGACCAAATGACACAGAAATTAACAACTATAGGTCACTGTACGGCCTTCAACAATGAGCAAAGCCAATACCGCACAGTCAGCTATAAAAGGCCCCCAAATGACAATGTAAAACAATTCAAACGAGAAAACTAACGGCCTAATTTATGTACAAACTAGAGGCTCTCAAGAGCCTGTGTCGCTCACCTGATTGTACTTTGGTTTTGGAAATCATGTAAAAATAGATTAAAATCATAACAGATACCCTTATAATGAGTGAGGCCAAATTTGGTTTAATATTAGTCCTGTAATTTAATAAAAAATCCTGGTGGCCATCTTGAACAGTAAATAGGCAACAAAGTAGCAACACTTCATCAGCACCTCATAAGAAACATTTATGCCATGTTTTGGTTTCATTCCCTTCAGTGCACCTCTAGAAGACGCTTGTATGTATTTCCCATAGGGTCTTATGCTAAAGGAAGTCCCCCCATTGGCGGCCATCATGGATGAAGGATCAGCTTCAAAGTAACAACACTTAGTCAGCACCTCATAAGGAACATTCTTGCCATGTTTGGTTTCAATCCATTCAGTGGTTCTCTAAAAGAAGACATTTGTATGTATTTCTCATAGGGTCCCATGTTAAACTAAGTCCCCTGCTGGCGGCCATCTAGTTATGGATTGGCTTCAAAGTAACAACACTCGATCAGCACCTCATAAGAAACATTCATGCCATGTTTGGTTTCATTCCATTTAGTGGTTCTCTAAAAGAAGACATTTGTATGTATTTCCCATAGGGTCCAATGTTAAACTAAGTCCCCCGCTGGTGGCCATCTTGGATTATGGATTGGCTTCATAGTAACAACACTTGGTCAACATCTCATAAGGAACATTCATGCCATGTTTGGTTTCATTCCATTCAGTGGTTCTCTAAAAGAAGACATTTGTATGTATTTCCCATAGGGTCCTATGTTAAACTAAGTCCCCCGCTGACGGCCATCTTGGATGATGGATCGGCTTCAAAGTAACAACACTTGATCAGCACCTCATAGGGAACATTCATGCAATGTTTGGTTTTATTCAATTCAGTGGTTCTCTAAAAGAAGACATTTGTATATATTTCCCATAGGGTCCTATGTTAAACTAAGTCCCCCTCGCTGGCGGCCATCTTGGATGATGGATTGCCTTCAAAGTAACAACACTTGGTCAGCACCTCATAGGGAACATTCATGCCATGTTTGGTTTCATTCCATTCACTGGTTCTCTAGAAGAAGTTCAAAATGTAAAAAGTTAACGACGACGATGGACGACGACGACGATGACGACGGACGACGGACGCCAAGTGATGAGAAAAGCTCACTTTGGTGTAACAGTACAACATAAGAACGAACTATAACAAGAGTGCACACGCTGAAATGTCTGGCCTTCTTTACTTACCATTGATTTTATGTTGATAGTCCTAAATATAAAGCTTTACTACAAGTAACACATAAACTTAACATGATCCAAGAAAATGAGGTCAAGGTCAGATAAAACCAGGGAGACTGACATGTACATCATAAAATATTTCCATACACTAAATATAGTTGACCTATTGCATATAGTATTAGAAAAAAAGACCAAAACTCA